CTCGATTCAAACATTGTAGTCTTGTCTGCACCTGTCCGATCGTCTATATATACCGAGATGATCATCTCCAGCGCGACCTGTTGTGTTTTTACCACGTGTGCATTAGGCGACGACAATGACAACATGTTGGATATGGGGTTCGCCGACGATGGCGAAGGTTTATGTGGCCTAGCGGATGACGACGTAGGTGATCATGCGGATACGATGACCCGGGTACACACGCAAGCGGAAAACGATGTTGGTCATCCGGATACGTACGAAGGATCTGAAACGAGCGAGCTCGCGAACGGCTTGTACGACGACGATGAAGGTTGCGAAGACAACGCATTTCGAGAGCAGCCGTTTGTTGACGTCGATGACCTTCACGCCGACGGTGTTGGTGATGCAACCGCCGCTGTTGGAGGGAGCGGCAGCATCCCTTCGCTCGATCGGCTCCACACAGCCGCGCCTTCCTATCGAACAAGCGTCACCATAGAGGGGGGTCGAGAAAACCTGAGATACAACAGAAATGCTGCCACCTCTGCATTCTATCCATTCCGTACCAAGGAACAGCTAGCCATTTATGTGTGGCAACACACGCATCAAGTATCGCAAAGGGCGTTGAGAGGACTGTTGGAAATTCTCCTGCATCAAGATGAAGGGGTTGGGTTTGACGTCAGTGGTCTCGAGGGTGTCGACGCAACACATTTCAATAGTCGGCACAGGAAATACATGCCTCTGTTGCAAGTACTCGGGAGAACGGTTCCGTCCACACGCGACGGAAGGAGAGAGGCTATGGTGTACGACTTTCCGTTGAACCTTTTGCTCGACCGCGACATGCGTTTGGCATCGGAAACCAAACTCTCGGAGACCTACCCTGCAGGAAAAATACTGCGCGGCGAGGTGGCCGTCGACAATTCCCTGACTTGCGACCACGTCAATGGCGTACCGACTCTGCCGGCTGGAAACGTTATGGGGTCTAACATGCACGGGAAACTAGCCAGGACATCACCTTTCTTCGGCATTGATGGCATCAAGGGCCGCAGGTCTGAGCGAAAAATCTACGTCAACGACGTATGTCTCTGCGAATTAGACGAAGGCACATACGTGTGCAGGCTCCTTGCGCTTTTCTGGGACGAGGACAGTGCGCAAGTGGTAGCGTCCGTGCTGCCGTTCCGTAGAGCTGCGGTGGTGCAGAGTGTGGGGGGGGAGGAGACGCATTTGGGGCTTGTGAGAGTCTATGAAGATACAAGTCCTGGCGCGGAGACCTCTTTGCGGGTTTCCGCAGTGCTAGACCTCGCAGAGATATACACGGTAGCGGATATTGAACAAGACCAACACGTCGGGGATTGGACTCAAGGCGATCGCCCCGCCGCATGGGAGCGCTACGTCGGGGAAGGGTTCGTCCGGTTGTCAAGGCAGAAACGGCGACGGCCTGGTGCCGGCGGAGCAGCAAAGCGGTATGAGGTCTCACACGCGCCGTGGAGCAGGGAGGGGACACCGGACAACCCACTTTTTGCGGTGCGGGGGGAAGGGTATCATCTTAACGATGAAAACAGAGTGTTTTTCTCAGCTCCCGTGACGTTCTACAACGATGAATTCAACTGCTGGGGTCTGGGGAACAAGGTATGAAGGCGTATTGACTTCCGCTACCAAACACCAGATCCTGCCGTCAATGCTTAGGTTTGTTTCGCATCTTTTCTGCGCTCTGCTCGTTCCGCTTTATAAACCACAAGGGACGTGTGTGTGTGTGTTCAAGCCGACGGTTCTACTATGCTATTTAGTTTCGTTGTTGGCGACCGGCATGCGCCGACGACCGGACACAAAAAGCGTCCAACATATCCACATGTGTTGATGGTCGTACCGTTTTTTGCGTTAACGTGGACACATTCGTTCCTGCAGCATTCCGTCGGGGGCTCCTACTTTGGGTGGCCATGGAGAAGCTCTGCCGTCCAGAGGCTGAAACGCCAAACCCACGTAGGGACCCTTGCGAGTACCGGGGCATCCAACAATGGGGAGATCGCGCTGCAATGTGAAATCCTGGGGCTTCTTGAGCGCGGGTGTGTGTTTGGGCAGTTGCAGGCTTGCGCGAGAAGATGGATCAACATTTCAGCAAGAGGTAACATATCAGCAAGAGGTATGGTCTACAACCCTGTCCTCTTACTGTATATATCTTCCAAGCTCCCCGGGAGTTTGGTGACTCTCGCGCGTGCAACCTTCCACGCAAGAGTAAACAATCAGGGGTATGACAGAGACTGTATCTTAAGATAGTGCGTGCGATAGTGCTGGTTTCAATACAAACGCGAAATAGCCCATCGTGACATGATGTGTGTCGAGCGTGACTTTGTGAATCTACGTGGGTGTGGCCTGCTTGTAGACTATTGTGCTCTTTTCCGCGTTTCCTACTGCTGTAGCCTGCTTCACATGCTCTGTCTGTCTGCCTAGATGTCTCTCTCCGCGGCACTCTACATAAGTCTGGACATGTGTACTTGCGGTGTTGCCCATGGTGTTCATTATAGAGTGTGCATGATGAACGGGGGTCAAAGTCCTCTTTTTGCATATGCATGCATGCACGTTTGTGCTGTTTGTGCTGGGAAGGCGTTTAGTCTACATGGTCTGAACGCCTACTACCGGACCTAACACTATATTGGTGAAATGGAGAGTGAAGGTTACGATGGAGAGTGACATATATTTCGTATTCGTACCACAAATAAAACAGGCATTTGATTCCTGGACAGGTGTACATCTGTTGCTTCTGAACCAACTGCCCCACATGCACTTTCCAGCAGCCGAGGCATTACGCAGTGGCGTCAGCAGAGGTGCAGAGCAATGTAGACCGTGCAGACACGGTGGGGGTAGGGGTCGGAACGTTGGGAGGCATACATGTGTGTGTGCATGTGTGCACTTGTGCACAACAAGTGCACACACACGCATGTGCGGAGGTCAGTCTGAAAAATCCGCAGAACGTGGTATGCATATCGTATGAATATGCACCAACGCGCCAACGGGCAACGTCGAGACAGACACGCGGGCTCAGCCAACAGCGACACTGCACAGTGAATGGCCGGTATTGCGTAAGGTCATCAGGACACTGGTGGTGTGGTATGTGGCTCTCTGGGCGTAGCGAGTCCTGGGTGTGTAGGCGTAGAGATGGGTGAGTTCTAGGTGCGAACACGGACGTGCCCCTTTCGACTAGTAAAAAAAAAAGTTTACCCGCCGCCATCTCGATGAAAAAGGACAATCAATCGCCGTCCTGTGGCCGAACCCACCAAGCACGCACACCGAGCGTATTGTCTCTGGCACAGCTTTGTGCGTGTGGGTTGTGCCAGAGTGTAAACCACCAGCTTTGGATACGAGGAGGAGAGAGACAACTCAGTTTCTCTCTGTACAACGTGTATACTCTCAAGGTGTGGTGATAAATCACATCCTCCGATCATCTTCCGTATGTAGATGGCTGCGTGTATTCGACTTCGCAGATCGGGGGACAACTCTGCTGCAGCTGCTGCTGCTGCTGCTGCTGTGTGTGTGTGTGTGTCAACGCCCTCTACCGCATGTTTCCCCCTGCAGCTTGTCATAGTGATCGATGTCCAACGATACACAATTGAAAGAGCATATCTCCCTGCATTACCGATTAAATGCAGAAATATTCTCACTCGTATTCCGCCAAGGCTCTCGGGGGAGTACATTGTTTAAGGACATCAACGAGATTAACCGCTCCCGACAGAGTCCACTGGAAATTTCCGTCTGGAATGACAAGCCAATCACCAGATGTCCAGGGATTTAAACTTGACACATTCGACAGGCCGCCAACACATCCTTTCAAAAAATCCAATAATCTCGGAAGCGAAATTCGCAACTTGCTGATTGCACATATTCGTAACTATTCGGAACGTAGCTTTCAACCCCCGGAGACTTCTTCGAAAAAATGATGTCATGACAAAATCGAAAGTCCAGTGCAACCTTGCGAACCATTTGCTCCTCCTGCATCCATGCACCTAGAGCTCACCCATCTCTACGCCTACACACCCAAGACTCGCTACGCGCAGGGAGCCACATACCACACCACCAGTGTCCTGATGATCTTACGCAATACCGGCCATCCACTGTGCAGTGTCGCTGTTGGCTGAGCCCGCGTGTCTGTCTCGACGTTGCCCGTTGGCCCGTTGGTGCATATTCATACGATATGCATACCACGTTCTGCGGATTTTTCAGACTGACTTCCGCATGTGCGTGTGCACACGTGCACACACACATGTATGCCTCCCAACCTCCCGACCCCTACCCCAACCGTGTCTGCACGGTCTACATTGCTCTGCACCTCTGCTGACGCCACTGCGTAATGCCTCGGCTGCTGGAAAGTGCATGTGGGGCAGTTGGTTCAGAAGCAACAGATGTACACCTGTCCAGGAATCAAATGCCTGTTATATTTGTGTTCCGAATACGAAATATATGTCACTCTCCATCGTAACCTTCACTCTCCATTTCACCAATATAGTGTTACCTATAGAGCCAGTTGACAGGACTCTACGCGTCAAGCACACTCGCCACGGCGCGTGTATCGTGATTCTCGAGCGTGTTTGGTATTTTGCCCCCGAGCTGTTTCTGTGCCCGCGAAAACGAAATCGTTTTAAGCGTGAGCCTAGAGTCGCTGCCGTAGGAGAACGATCAAAGAACGTGAGCACGGTAAAGATCGAAATTACATACTTACATACATTTACATATGCCGTGTGCATTTTCGCTCAAAGTTGTTGTGTTTAGAAGACAGTGTGGTTCTCAAGGAGGTCTGTACACCTCACGCAGTCAGACGGTGTGTACAAGGAATAATAGAATAGAAGGCAACCCGAATACCGACAGCATCAGTGCCGTGTGTGTGTGTGCATCCTTTTCGCGACTTGACTGTACCTCTACAGGTTTTCGTACGGGGTGGGCTGCTGACGTTCACCGCTGATGGTGTGGGCAGGGCTAAGAGTTCGGGCGGCAAGGCTCCGAACAGCTTTTCGAAGTACTCGTGCTTGTACTGCATGTGCCCACAGGCCGACGACGACACCGGGGGGGAGCTAGGAAATGCTCGGTATGACATTGAGACTAACCGGCGTACGTATGGCCAGATGAAGGACGGTTTTGCCGAGCTGGCGTTGCTCGTAGATCAGCCGGCTGAGCAGGCTAGAAAATCGATGGAGCTGGGCCTCGCCGCGGGTAGCGCCAATGGTCCCGGGTTACCTCTCTGGACATCGCTCCACATCAACCCTCTTCGGCACATGCCGATCGAACGGTTGCATTTCGATGCTTTGGTAAGTGATGATAGGACATTTGGATACTCGGTCACTAAAACGGTGTGCCTCCCGAATTGTATTTCTGTGTAAAACGGATGGTGTGACCATCGGAGGAGGAAAACCGACTACTTGAACGAATGTTTAGATTCCGTTGCGCAGCCTCGGTGGATGCAGGGCCGTTCGAGTCACGTCTCCCCGTGCGCGCCAAATTAGTATGTTGTCCTTTTTCGGGTTGGGTGGGTTCAACTATATTGTGTACGCACGACAGCCCACGTGAGCCATGGGGGTCAAACACTTTCCCCCCATCAACAAGTTCAAGAGTTGAAATCCACCATCATCCCAACTCCAATACCGTTTTCATGCGTTTGCCATATTTTCTCATTATCCCAACAGGGTTCGTGCCAGCTCAACCAGGTCTTTGTCCTAGAGTTGCTCTCGACACAAGGCCGCCGGCTCGTCCAGAGTGTCATGGCCCAGCCACCGTCCCTGCTGTACCCACCAGGCACGGAGCACCTGAAGGACATCGTGACGAACTACTCGTCTCTTACTGGGAGTGACAAATGGACGCTGCAATCTATGTTGCTGCTTGTCTTTCGACCCGTTCTGCAAGACGTCGAGTCTCTGGTGAACTATATTGTATATTCCAATTGAAGTATCCTGCCGGGTCCAACTCAACTCCATGACAAATCCCACGCTAAAATCCCACGCTTTCAACACCTTCATCGCTTCATCATTTCAGGCACGAACGTTTATCATGCCGTTGGCTTTCATCATACCGTTGATCTTGCAGAATTTTGTAGTGCCCGCTGTCATCAATCGCAAACCTCCACAATCTTTCAATCAGCGCAAGGAGTGCAAGTTGCTTTTGGTGTTGTCGGATACTTGCCCAAACTACCCCCGCGAGGACGTCTTGATTTCCGACATTAATAGTGGCGGCGAAAATTTGTCTCCGCCGTTGTGGTAGGCACACGCGGTTGCCGATGATGGCCGACGCAGCTTTGTCGGAGTTGCACACGTGATCCTTGCCCACGTACACCTCCTCCGACCGTGCGCGCAGACTTGACCGCGTTCATCTGCATGTACTTCTGGTTCTGCCTCGTTCTTCCCTGACAGAGGCAAAACGTGAAACGACAGGAGCTCAACCATTTGACACGCATTTGGGGGAACCACAGCAAGGTCCTACACGTGCTACAGAAGCTGATACAAGTGGCGTCTCACTTTTCCTTCGCTGTGCGCGCACCTTCTCACAACCCCGCCGAACTCGTGAACCTGGATCTCCTCGCTCGCGATGTGGTACGTGCATGTGCTTGGACAAATCGATTTTGTTTGCCCCGACTCCACACGGCATATGTTCGATATTCCCCGCGTCCTTTTTACTACTTCAGTCATAAGAGCTCTTATTATATCGAGATTTCATGTTGGCAACAACGACCACGTACATGCACGGGTGGCTACGTATAGTGTTTTCCCGTGGTGGACAATGCGTTTACTAGGTAGCAAACACAGTGTGTCGGGGGGATCGACGGCAGGATCCTCGGGACACCTCGAGTATGAACGAAACTTAGATGAACGTACAACCTACTATAACGTACTTGAAGACTTTTCTACGCACATCGTTCCCCTGTAGGTTGGTTTCTACAGCCAAGTGATGGGGAGGTCAGGATCGAGACCTACCATCCACTCGATGCTGCACATCTGCGACGCCATCAAGGACCACGGTGAGGATCTCCATTACCTTTCGGGGGGGATTGGGTGATGGGTTAAGCCACCTAGCTTGTATACCCCACGAACGCATACCGTATACCTATGCATGCGTAGGTGTTTGAGGTCCGACGATCAGCCTCCGTCGTATCACTGGGCTTACGTGTAGTCCATAGGCACGCGCCCCTCCCCTCTGCACTTGTATGCAGCCGCCTTCCGGAATCCGACTCGCGCGCGCTATTCGTCAACCCTAAGTGGTATGCCCTTGTTGTCTTTGTAGAGATTGTAGTGCTTGATGTTTAGATGCTTGTTATCTCTCACACCCGGTTGGGGGGAAAGAGCAGGGAGTGCCACGCGCACGCCAGCTGACAGCAGCTGGCGTGGGGGCTCCGCACAATCATTCTCTGGTCGTACTACCCAACGCATACCTATGTGCAGGGCACCTGAAACAGTCATCTCGTCTACAGATCCGACTACATACGCACTCACACGAACACGCGCACCGCACACCACTCCTTTCTATACAATGTACCGTCAGAAGTTCTTCATCCGATTCTTTTGTGTTTGTCCTGTTTCCCTCAGTCTGGACGTATGGCCATCCGTTTGTTTTGTGCGCCTTTCTGCTCTACTCGCTCCTCACACGTAATTATTGACCGCGCTGCGCAAACTGTCGTGGCGCCACGATTCTTGTACTACTTCGCATTCCCATTAAGTTTCACCGCCGCTGCTCATGAATGCATGTGCCGTTGCAGTCAATTTGTTTCTATTCCCAACAGAATATCTACGGACCTCTGCGCGTGTCGTTTTTCGCGGGGAATAATTATTCACATACCAGAGGGTGGGCGTACCTGGGATGGACAATTATATATACAACACCCCCTCAACAACAACAATTGGTGTGGGACTGTGCTCTGGGACGATACTTTTAGACCCTAACAAAGGTGCTTCCTCTCCACCCACACCCTCCCCCGTATATAGGGACTGTCCCGGACGCGAGTTCCGGGGAATTCGCGCACCAGCAGAACAAGTCTGGCGCCAAGTCGGACTGTGGACGTAACCCTCCACTGCACTATGCTGTGCGTGCCAACACCAGTGCTGCCATACATGCGCTCGCCAACGGCCTGCAGTACGAAGTGACGAAGTACAACCACAGCACCAGGACGCACGAGGTTGTCTGGGTCAGCCCCGGTCCCGGGTGCGTTCGCATGTTGCAATGGCTCGGCCCTAGCCTTGGCCGCGATCGCGTGCCTACAGACATCAAAGCAAAAGCCAGCCAGTCGCCAGGCGAGCTAAAGGGACAGTTCCCGGGCTCGGCAGTTTGGGCGGCGACTCTGTTCGAAGACGGGGACGTGTGCAACGTCGCTGGGACCTGGACGGATCGTGTCGCCTCGGGGCATCTCCGACCCGACGAAGAAACTTTGTCTAGGGCCTACGAGACGTACTACGGGTGTGGGAGGGGAGAGCCGTGCGAGAACCTACGATGTCCCTCGTGCTGGGACGATGGTCATGCCTCAGCGCTCGAAGTCAACCAGATCGCGTGTTCTACATATATACGCGTCCCCCTCGTGGCGAGTTGCGGACAGGGTCGCTTGAAGGGCGGCGATGCCAAAACCGCGAACAGACCCGGGCCGCGCGATGACTGGGCCTTGGGGGGCGGAGGTGGTGATAATGTTGAGGTATACAAAGGACCACCGCCACCACCTGACGTTGGAACTGTTGCACCGGACCAATTGACATTGGTCAAGATCCTCTACTTCTTCCTGCACGAGGGGAACCCTCGTTCCCTGAGCGGGGAGCCGCCCCCGCTTACCTGGTGGGTGCTCGGGTACGAGTATGTGGGGGTTGGTGAAGGAAACGAACGTGTGCCCGATTCCATCACGGGGCACCCAACCTTGCTCCTGCGTGGTCGGGGGCGTCCGTTGGTCTTCCCCGTGGACGCCATCCGACGCCAAGTGCACATCCATCACCAATGCCCTACGAGAGGAGACGTCGATCCGGGAGAGGCTTTTGTTTGTGAACAAACCCAAGGGGAGGGTCGCACCACGCGCGCTTGGCAGCACAGATTCAGACTGGCACATCCGGGCTCTCACAACGGCTACGATAGATACCTTTTAAACGAGGTTCACCACAGCGTCAACCAGGACACTTTCGTTTGAGGTGGGAACGGATCTATATGCTTCTCATTATTCGGATGTTGGGCCGGGCCGCGGCCAAAAGCCCTCATTGTACGAGCCACGCATTAATTTTTGATCCACGTAGAGATTGAACGGGCCTTGAATTCACTGTATACTTGTACGAGTACACGTCGCCGCCGCAGAGCTTGTATATGTTGTTTTGTCGTCTTCCTCTTTGACAACGACACGTTTCGTCCTGTGTGCATTGACGTCACAGGATCGACGTTTCTGATGCACCCGACGCGGCGGAGACAAACCCCGAGGGAGACAAACCCCGGGAAAGGGTACCTAGTGCCCGCGGCCTAATGCTCATCATCAACAAAGTAGCACCACATGTTTGGTTGTATATTCGCGCGTTGTACGGGCCGTTGCTTTCATTTGCGCCAAGTGTCGTTCATCGAAGCTTTTTGCGTATCCTTGCGTGCTGCACACTTTGTATTTAGCAGATTAAACCGCGGTCACCGTGTGACATTTGAACTATTGTACCTCTTGTTGGAGAATTTCATTGGTGTCTGTGTTGGTGTCTGTTAAATGTTTCTTTCTTTCTTTTGTGGATACTGCACAAATGAAACGACACCTTGTCGGAAAGCTCTTGACGAGACGGCTTCTTCAACGCCGCCGTTTTCGGCGCTGCCACTCATTCTGTTTTGTGGAGTAAAGTCGAGCACTGAAAAGCGGTTCAGGGGGTGTGGTATCTTGTGTCACCTCCGGTACGTGCTGCGGGTGTTTTTTTTTCCGTACTTGTAGATTGCCTATGGAAATCAAAACACATCATACTCCAGAGTATGCATATTCTGCTACGATACTTTGTATAGTACGAACACATATCGTCGGGTGAGGACTCTTCAATGGTGGTGCCTCTATTGGCACTCTAAATACATGCCATGGTGGCACAGGGTATAGACAATGCACCCCTGACCAGGGTGGTCTCTCCACAAGGTCTCCAAATAAGCGACCTTGTAGAACAAGAGTCCTGGCAGGGTCTCGACAGGGTCTGTACATGGTGTGTACAGGGTGTTCGTCCCGCAGGGTACGCAAAAGGCGGAGCAAAGTGGCTACCAGTGTACTCGACCATCTCGCCCTCGATTAACTCGCGAGTTTTTGCACTAGATGCGCAAAGAAAGCCAGTACCCTGGATCGACTGCTGTAAGTCGTTTAGGCACCCTGACACATAGTCCTGTTTGATTTTGACGAGCCACTTCTATGACATACATACCACATGGCATATCATACACACACATACATGCATGTATGTACGGTGTGGCTTTCTCTCTATCCAACAGAACCGCGTGACCACCAGTATTCGGATAGCATGCAGAGAGCCCGCAGCCCGCACTGCATGGGAGTAAGTAGTAGCCGTCGCGAGCAGAGCAGAGGACAATGGCGGGCGCTGCCTCGACAGATCATCATGCACAGAGGATGAGAAAAGATCCAAGTTAAAAACGCTCCAACGGCCACAACTAGTCTTGCTTCTAAAACTCAGCAGACCAACCCAGCTCTGCGTCGTGACTAAATATTATATAAGCAGCAGGGCAAGGAACCAAGACCTGCTTGGGAAAGCGTGTGTATTGGTCTGAAAGGGTTCATTCGGCTGCCAGACTCTCTGTTTAGCCGGGGGGCGCACCCTCTACTCTCTCTCTGTCGTCAGCTGTCGCATCAGTAACGAGGCTCTCTGGTGGGCGGCGTACGTTCTCTCTCTCTCTCCCTCTCTCTCTGCTCTGGGTCGCTGTTGTTGCGGCAGCAGCAACCAGCTGCTAACACTCTTCATTGCTGGCG